TGAACCATCGGCTCCCGCTGCTTTGTTGTTCTTGAGCCGGTTAATTGCTTTTATGTCCTCATCTTGGCTAGGTGGTATACACTCTATACCATCATCTCTTATTGGTTCTGGGGTATCTTCTTCAACGCCACTATTTGATACCAGAAGCTTTGGTGCATCATTTACAGGAAATCGGATACTAATATATATATGAGAGCTATATATGCAACTGAACCGTCAACATACCCTTCACCATAAGGTTAAGTGGATATTAAATTTGTCATGCCGTTTGCAACACTCTGAAATATATAGCTGAGACCCCATAAAATAAATATATTTTTGAGGAGTGGTGACCTTTAAAGTCTATACCAATTATATAGCTGTATGTACTCGAATGTGTGGATTTAATTGTGTGTTTGTGTTATGATATTGGTTACTATTAACCCACTAAAGGACGGAAATTGTGCGCTGATCGCTTTGAAATTTTCAATGAAGTTCCGTATATAATTTTCGGAGACGTTGAGATGATATTTAGATGAGTGCAAAGAACCGAAACTTTATTTTATTTTATTTTTTTTTTTGCTCTTCCACATTTTAAAAAAGTGCTAGTCGCATTATGAATCGGTCTTCGCAAATTTTCAATCAATTTTTACTTTTTATTTGAGTCCGACAGCTAGAGTTATTGGTGGTGATCAGTTAATATTTTACGTGAGTACAAAAACGACATACAGTAGCGGACAGAAGCGAGTATACTTTGAACAATTTTTACGTCCTGAAAATAAAAGAGAAAAAGCAAATTTTGTGGTCAATCGTTAAGCAAAAGGGCCAATAATAAAGACGACCGGATCTGAGGCCATTGGAAGAATATTTTAAATGTATTTGTACTGAAATTAGTTGAAAGTATGCCTAGTTGCATTAATGACGCATTAAGTTCAAAATAGCTAATAAAATACAAAAATGTTTCAATTTGTTTTTTTTTACTTTTATTTTTTATGGCGTAAAAAGTGTCCAAAGTACAAACATCCAATCGCTTCTGCACGCCACTGTCCATATATAGTTTCTTCCAATATAACGTAACGTGAATCTCACAACAACTAGAGGACATAGAAGATCTATGTTACACCTTTTTTATTCTCCAAACACACAAATGAATGTTATATCTACTATATCATAGTCCCCGATATTTTGAATATTGTTGATTTCCGAAGATGTTTCTATTCATACGTACCCTTAGACTCTATTCTGCAAACTGATGAAATTTTATTTTACCCTTAGTTTAGTGTATATACCATGACGACCACTCGAACAATAACTTCGATAAAGAAGAAGGACACATTTAATAAATTTCAATATTAATTATGCTCTTTACCACAATTATTATTTGCAATGAATCTGCATTTTTAAGGTGTTAAGAATTGACACGTTTTCATTTTTGAAATGAGGTCAACAAAATGCAATGTCTATTAGGGAAACGGGATGACAAAGTGTTTTTTGTTTATTGATGCCATCTGTCGGGTAGACAAGTTGTACCCACAGCACATATAAACACTCAACTAATGAATTACAACTTACATATTTCATAATTATATACCTAAAGCCTAATGAGGGTACACGTCAATACGATCAGGAATGTGCCACATCGAAATAAATCTTTTTGACCAAATACATTTTGTACCTTTGGATGACAATAATTCCTATTGAGTTTGAAACTCCTTGGTGAGTATATGAAAACTCCATATTATACTGCAAGAGATATTGTATTTTTTTAAGATTACATTTATTCAGTAAAATAGAATGAGGAATCTTTTTGTAGAACATTTCTTGATTCCTTTTCGTCTTTAATTTATTGAACCGGACTCCAATTATTACAAGATGCAATTTTTCATCCTCAAAATATTCTACAAACATTTTGCTCATAAGATATTAGGATGGGTTCTTAAAGACGAGAAATCCATATTCTAACGTGGTATATTCTAAATTTTTCCCGTTTGTTGCCACTAAAACCCGATATGTATTTCAATAATATTTCAATATTTTAACTAATAATACCTAAAATGTGGTGGGTTTCTCGTGTAGGCTACTTGAGTATATGGACCTATGAAGTAAAGCTGTCTGCAAACAAGTTTTTTAGGAAATTTACACAAAGTCATAATCAGTGAGCGGAGTAGGAAAATCTAACTTTCTGCGGTATTATATTCTGATCCTGCCAATATTTCGCGATATTGGCACCCTCTTGGCCGATTATTGACAAACAGCTCAACTTTCTAACCATGGTATATTTTACAAATCTTGTTTTCCCAACGTGAATATTTATGCCATAAAATAAAAATTTTGGTCACTTTAAGTTTTGGTTGATTTGACCCGCGCAATATTGACCGATCATCATCTAAATAGTCGTTTTAAGTATTTGGTCAGATCCCATTCACTGTATAAAATATGTGATGTTCTGCATGTAATAATGACCTCTAAAGCGACTAAAAAATCTGAAAAAATAAAAATTTCTGTTCTTTTCACACCCTAAATATCATCTCAACATCACCGTCGTCCTTGACCTTAACCGGAACTTTATTTCAAATGTTAAGGCTATGAGATCGACATTTCCGCCCCCTGGTGGGGAAATGATAATTTAAGTATAACTCCCACGTGTGTGCTAGAGTTGGGCAATCTAGTTCACTTAGCGGATCGATCTTTCTCGTTAATTTTTTAAAGGAACTTGTTCCTTAATGTAGTTTTTTTTTTGTTTTTTTTTTCGTTTTTTCCATATAGTTCCTTTGCTCCATATAATTCCTTTACTCCATACAGTTCCTTTGCTCTAAATAGTTCCTTTGCTCCATAATGTTCCGACTCCTCCATAGTTCCTCTGCATCTCTCTCTCTCTCTTTCATCGTTCTTTTTTTTCGTTTTTTGTTTTATTCCATATATAGTTCCTTTGCTCCATATAGTTCCTTTGCTCTTTATAGTTCCTTTGCTTCAAATAGTTACGACTCCTACATAGTAGTTCCTTTAAACCTCTCTCTCTCTCTTTCATCGTTCTTTTTTTTTATTTTTTTTGCTCACATAGTTCCGTGCTGATTTGCTAATAAATGCAAAAAATTGAAAATTGTGCAAAAATGAAAAAAAAATAAATGAAGCTACAACTGCAGGACGATTAGCACAAAATAATTTAGTTTATAAGTAAATAAAAATATTTAAAACAAAAATAAAATTTAACTATTTACACAATTCGAAATACGAACGAATGAAGAGTAGGGGAACAAAGGAACGAGATCAGAAAAAAACGAGATAAAAAAGAACGAGAAAAAAAGGAAAAGAAAAAAGAACAAGATCAGAAAAAGGAACTATATTAATTAAAGAACTGGAACTACTTCCGATCGTTCCTTTCTCGGAATAGTTTCAATGAACTAGTTCGTTCCGGATCTACCTAACTCTACCGTGTACATACAAGAATATAATCGGCATCAATTTAAAGGTCAACCTCTCCTCTTGAATATACAGTCAAATTCGCGGGTCTATGTCCTTCAGGAGTAAATATATACGCATCAGAATATACATTTTGTAAAAGCTAAATAATGTCCGATCCTTATCAAAACAGTCATGCTTTTTCTTTGGCCAGATTCCCTTCCTGGTGTAAAATTTCGTGGTGTTCGGGTCATAATTGTGGCGTCTAGAGCGATCAGAAAACCAGACCAATATAAAGTTTTTGGGCCATTTCATCCCCATCCTACATGCAAAATTTCGTGATAGGTCCATAACCGTGGCCTGTAGCGTGTTTACAAATTATATTGGACATACAGACGGACTCGACTCAACTAGTCGAGATATGCGGTATACTTAATGTGGGTCTAGGACCAATATTTAGCCGCAATACTAACTCTTGAGGCTGCACAAATATTTTACCCTGACAACGTAGCTGTGTAGGGTATAAAAATATAAAAAATGGGAAAGAAATTTATAAAGACAACTTTATCATCAAATTACCCGAAATTCCAAATGACAGCCCCTTTGGTTAAAAAAAAACTGGCAAAACTTTTAAGATTTCGGATATTGGTCCATTATACGATGGCGTGGACAGATATGTCCCATTTTCGAACCATTGTAGCAGTACTATACGTAATATTGGCGATGAAAACGTAATGGCAAATTTAAAAACCAACATTATTCTAGATCCAGCATTATCTCTTCGTTCTGTGCATTGATTACCAGTAAGTCAGTTATTGTCCAATAAAAAAAATTACAGTCATGATAAATTTATTTACATACATACCACATAGCAAAATTACAACAAAAGCAAATAAATTAACTAAGATTTTGTATTATTATTTACATCACATTTGATGGTACCTTCCTGTAGTAGTTCTTTAACTTTACTCGATTTTATATATCTTTTGTAATTGCTGCCAACAATCAGTGTCAAAAACCGTTCCTTTATATAGGTTGGCAGTAATCTAAAAAATAAATAAAAAATAACAACAATTTTAGTCGATCTTATTATAATAGTCATCTTCTTACTACTTACTCAAATAATTTATACATATACTTAATGGAACCGGGTATTACAAGCTCATCTTCCCCGGCCAACATGCCCTCAACAATGCGTCGGGCAACACTACCACCCGAAGCTCCTCGTATACCATTCATATCGACTAATTTCTTAACATATTTATTTGTATTTAAAAATGTTGGCATTACAGTGGTCGCCGTGATGTTATGACCAAGTAGCATTAATTCCGATCGCAGCATCCATGTGAGGTGGCGCACTGCAGCTTTGGTGGCAGCATAAACACTCATTGTGGGAAAAGCCAAGAGGGCCGAAGCAGATGAAATGTTGACAATATGGCCACGATTCAGTTCTTTCATTTTGGGTAGAAATATTTCAGTCGTCTAAAACAGAAGTAAAATATAATAAAACAGTTATAAATAAAATATCATATTATTTAATTTTGAATTTACTTACATAACATATGGCACTGACGTTAACATTAATCATACGTTGGACTTCTTCTAGTGGTGGATTTTGTGCTGTTGAAAAGAATAATACTGCAGCATTGTTAACTAAAATTGTTGTATCTCCCAAATCTCTGGTGACGTTGTCTCGTAATTCGGAAATTTGTTTGTGATCCGATACATCAACCTTAAAATAATAAAATGAGGAAATATTTGTTTAATAATTCGTATTATATTTTCTGCCGTATGGCATATTTGGTTCCCAAATTCAGATAGAAGACCATATGAAGTTAGATAAAAGTAGATTCAAATAAAGGATCCCAAACGCTGAACATTTTGAAATTTATGGCATAGAAAAATTTTTAGGATTTCTATTCGGTGAATGAATAGGCCTGGAACTCGGAAATATAGTAGATGCCTCTATTAATTAATGTTTAATACAAATATTCAGCTGAACAACAATTGGATAAAATCTCTGTTCGCTATAAATGATATGTATGATTTTATCACGATTTTTGAATTTAGTAGGCAAGGTGCCAAGAAGAAGTATTCAAATAGACACAATCTTAGGATTTATTTTAGGTTCAATGAAAATGCGTCTAAGACCATGAAAGTGCGTTATATGGAAGATATTTCATATCGAGGACCTGAATGTCAAATTACGGCCACTAAAAACCCACGAAACTCTAAAAAGGTAGAGGTATAGTTATATGGGTGCTATATCAAAACGTCTATATATTCTTCAAAAATGCCGAAAATATGACCTTGGACCTGTAATATATATATATATATATATATCCCTTTACCACACTGTGGTACAGGGTATTATGTCTTTGTGCATATTTTTGTAACAGGCAAACCAAGGACGAATCCTATTGAAATTGGAAAAAAATCGGTTCAGATTTAGATATATGTAGTTTAGTCCGATCTCATGTAAATGATGCACAAAATTGCCAATATTGTCCGATTGGGGCAATCGCTGTGCAATATTGTCAGTGCACAGCGCACTGAATCAGGTCCATACTTATGTATGCGAAGTTTTATTAAAATCGGATCAGATTTTGATACAGCTCCGACTTTTTGTGAATGATACACCAAACTCCCAATATTTGTCCGATTGGAACAAAATTTTGCACAGAGTACTGAATTATATCCGGACTAATGTCAGCGAGGTTTTGTCAACATCGGATCACATTTAGATATAGCTCCCATATATAGTTTCGTCAGATTTTTTTGTGAATGATTCACCAAACTCCCAATAGTTGTCCGATTGAGGTTTGTTGAAATCGGTTCAGGTTTTGATATAGGGCTTATATATTTCGTTCGATTTTATGTAAATGGTGCACCGAAGGGCACAATTTACACGAAATTTGGCAGAGGGTATTAAATTGAATAAAAAGTGATAACAAATTTGTGTTTTATATATAGCTCGCATACATAATATTACTCGATTTCATACAAGTGGTACACCAAAGAATTCAAGTCAGCCCGTTTGACATGCACTCTTGCATTGATTTCAGAATGGTGTGTGTATGGGGTTTTTCAATTGTTTCAAATATCTATCTAGATAGCACACTTAATTTCGCCCGATTGGCGGTTTTAGCCGCAGTTACCAACCAAAAATCCTGTGATTTGTAATTCCTGTTTCCAACCGAAAAGACTGCAATTTGACACTCCAGTTTCTTGGTAAGAGGTCCCGCCAAATTATACCCTTCGCAGAACTGTGGTACAAGGTATGATGCCTTTGTGCATATACAAAAGGAAATGAGATAGGCGCATGATTACTTTTGAGAACATGCATGAAATCACTTTCTCAGTCGATTTATGCTTGTCCGTTCACTTGTCTGTCCATGTATTCTTTTGCACAAGGTACAGGTCGCATTTATGACGCAAATTGGATGAAATGCAGTACAGGTCACATATTTGAAATTGGAGGAGATGAGTGCAGATTTAGTTATATCTCCCATGCACAGGTTTGCCCGATTCCACTATAGTTCACCAAGTTGCAATGTTTGTACGAGAGAGAAAAAATTTGGCACAGTGTACGAAATTAAGTACAGATTGACGTATGTGAAGGTTTGTATAAATCGATTCAGATTTAAATATACATATACATTTATTGTCAGATTTTATGTAAATTGGGCACTAATACCCTTATACAACTTTCGATGCAAATAGCATATCAAATTGAAACTATAACACTGTGCGACACGAAAATTTTTCAGGGGTTCTAATGTACCAATTCTGTTTAGTTGGAGTCCCTGGATCACGAAAATACCTTTGGTTTTTCTGGGTCACTTCGAAAATTAATTTTATAACGGTAAATATAGAGAAAAACGTGGTTTCATGGATTTTCCAATTGAAACTTGAATAACTTATTTACTTTATAATGGATTTATATTATTCTTTTTTTCTTTCGAACTATGGGTCTATCTCGTTTCCTTTTGCCTGTTACAAACATAACGGTTTGTAACAGGAAACGATACAGACCCATATTTCCTTTGGAGAATATGCATAGAATCAATTCATAAATGTGTATAAGTCATCCATTTTTTAACCGATTTTTTTGATTTTTATCATTTTCGAAAGCTAATTTAATTTTCTTCCCCGTAATATAATAAAACTTATATGGCTTGATATCATAATTTCATCGTACAGTCCGAAGAAAAATAAATTTTGTCATTTTATGCGTATTTTTTCATATTTCAACCGCTGTAACTCAGCCAATCCTCAACCGATTTACCAAATATATATCTCATTTGAAAGGAAAAATTGTACTCTTCGAAAGAAAGAAAGAATAATATTAATCCGTTACAAAGTAAATATGTTATTCAAGTTCCACTTGGAAAATCCATGAAACCACGTTTTTCTCTATATTTACCGTTATAAAATTAATTTTCGAAGTGACCCAGAAAAACCAAAGGTATTTTCGTGATCCAGGGACTCCAACTAAACAGAATTGGTACATTAGAACCCCTGAAAAATTTTTTTTTGTTATTTTGTAGCACAGTGTAATTATCTGTATAGCTCTCATATATATTTCCGACCGATTTTATGGAAATGGCGCCCCAAACTCCATGAATTTTTCCGATTTACACAAAATTGTGCGTAACATATTGAACTTAGTCGAAAATTACATGTGGAAAGTTTTGTTGAAATTGGTTCAGATTTAGATATATATCCGATATATATTTTCAATTCGGAAACAATTTTGCACATTTCATTGTATTGAGTCTAGAATGACGGGTACAAAGTTTTGTTTAAATCGGCTTAGATACAGATATAGCTCCCATATGGTCCACCATGCTCCCATTGTTTATCCGATTGAGACGAAATTTAGAATGCCGTACAGTTTTGAGTCTATAATGACGCTTGTTAAGTTTTGTTAAAATTGGTTCATGTATATAATCCGATTTGATCTCAGTAGTGCACTAAAATAAAAAAATCGGTCCAGAGTTAGATATAGCTTCCATAGATACATATTTGATAAACATGAAGAGTTTGGTGCATTATTTACTTCAAATCGGACGAAAATATTTATGGGAGCTATATATAAATCTGAACCGATGTTCATGAAACATGGAACACATCATTCTAGATATTTAGGGACTTTGCTGCACCATTTACATGTATAAATCGACTTAAAAAGTGATTCTATGCATATTCTCAAAAGGAACCATGTGTCTATCTCGTTTCATTTTGCCTGTTACAAACATATGCACAAAGACATAATACCATGTACAACAGTGGAGTGAAGGGAATAAAAAGGGGGTAATAAGGGGACTACCCCTAAAAGGGGGTAATAAGGGGACTACCCCTAAAAGGAGGTAATAAGGGGACTACCCCTAAAAGGGGGTGATTACTAATAATTTTTGGTAGGGAGATTTGTTACAATATACGACTAATACCAGATTACAACGAATTCGGTTGAAAACCGTGCTCAAGAACCCCAAAATATCGAAAATTGGAGGGTACCCTTGTATGGGGCCTACCCGAAAAAATGGGCCAATATTTATAATTTTTAGTGGAGAGATTTGCTACACAATAAAAACTCAAAGTACCAAATTTCAGCGAATTCGGTTGAAAAACGGGCTAAAGAACACCAAAATACCGACAATTGGGGGTACCCTTATAGGAGGGCTACCCGAAAAAATGGACCTATATTTATAATTTTTTGTGGAGAGATTTGCTACACAATAAAAACTCAAAGTACCAAATTTCAGCGAATTCGGTTGAAAAACGGGCTAAAGAACCCCAAAATACCGACAATTGGGGGTACCCTTATATGAGGGCTACCCGAAAAAATGGGCCTATATTTATAATTTTTTGTGGAGAGATTTGATACCCAATATGAACTCAAAGTACTAAATTACAGCCAATTCTGTGAAAAAATCCGGTCAAAACCCCCCAAAAACTGAAAATTGGGAGGTACCGTTATATGGGGGCTACCAGAAAAAGTGGACCCATATCTATACTTTTTAGTGGAGAAATTTAGTATCCAAAATGAAACCATTTTACCAAATTTCAGCGAATTCGGTTGAAAAACGCGCTCAAGAACCTTAAAATATGGAAAATTTGGGGGGTACCCTTATATGGGAGCTATGCCTAAACGTGGGCCGATTTTCACGAAACTTAACACACATCATTCTAGACTATGTTCAGTACGCTGTGCCAAATTTCGTGCAAATCGAAAGATATTTAGGGACTTTGGGGCACCATTTACCTTAAATCGGGCAAAAATATATATGGGAGCTATATCTAAATCTGAACCGATTTTTCCCAATTTCAATAGGGTTCGTCCTTGGGCCAAATAAGAGACGTATGCCAAATTTCATCCAATTCTGATAATAAATGCGACCTGTACTTTGTTTACAATTTAACATGGACAGACAGACGGACGGACATGCATAAATCGACTTAAAAAGTGATTCTATGCATATTCTCAAAAGGAACTATGTGTCTATTTCATTTCCTTTTGCCTGTTACAAACACATGCACAAAGACATAATACCCTGTACCACAGTGTGGTGAAGGGTATAATGACATATCCACCATATAACGGTCCCGATTTTTTAAGAAGTTGTGTATGTCACCACATGGTAAAGGGTATAAAAAGTTCGGCCGGACCACCTTTCTACTTGTTAGCATTATTTTTTTTCGAATTTCAACTATTCGGTTTTAATAAAAAAAAAACTCGATCAAACTAAATGTTTATATTTTGTTATCATTTAAACAAATATCTTACGAATACCGACGAATATGAATATCAAAATGAAATTTTCAAAATTACCTTGTACGCTTTGGCTTTAACATTGTATGTTTCCGCTATATATTCGGCTGTTTCTTCGGCCAACGTTTGTTGTATGTCGACGATGGCAATGCGACAGCCACGCTTAGCCAAATCGATGGCTATTTCACGACCCAAACCGCCAGCAGAACCAGTTATCTGTTGAAATGCAAAGCAAACGAAGATGATCATTGACATAAAAGAACGGTGTAATTAAATTCACAAATATTAGCAAAGCACAGCGGTAGGCGAAGAAAACGATGAAAACGAAAAATATTAAACAATAAATAATCATACAAAAAATATCACAATATATTTTAAATAATTATTTTTCCGCTTCGACACACTGTGCAAACTTTTGAATGTCAATGCCATTCAAAATTTTTTTATTGATTTGTTTTTGTGGATCTCATTTAATTCCTTATCAAAATTGTTTTTTAATTTTTGTATCGTTGGTTTTTTCATTACCACGGCCACTTCGTTGCTGAGTGAAATATTTGTTTTCTTTGGTCTTAACCATTTCACCACTTGATAGATTATGGATGCCACAACAAATGCTGGATATGCCACAATAAGACCGATTAATGGCAATTGATTAACAATAAAACCCATAAGCCACTTGCTGTTCAGCATTGTTGTTATTATTGCTTTAAATGTTTTTTTCGTTTTTCTAATAATTTCCGTTTAAAATGCAATTCAGTTTTGAGTTTTTGTTTTCAATACGATAACTCGTTTTGATGTGTTCGAATATAACGTTTAAACAATATTAAATCGCGTATTGAAATAACGCATATATTTATAAACTTTGTCAAGGGGGTCAACCAGAATACACAGTTTTGACGAAATCAAGGTGAAGGTGAACGCAAATGCGATCAAGAAGAAAAACAAAAACAAACAAACAAAAAATACCGATGCAACATAACGGGGATTTTAGATTGTTTGGAATTTCAACAAAAAACACCACAGCAAACCGTCGAAATGAGCCAGCGAATTTTTTCATTTTGTACTACTGGTCCCCCTCCGAAATGAAATCCTGTATACGTTGCAGGTTTAGGGTATGTATATTTATAGCCGTGGCCTCTTTTAAAATGTTTAGGGTATATTTATAGGCGAAGATTTATTTATACCATACACAACTGTGTTGTCAGGGTATTTTAGCTTTATGAAGCCCCAAGAGTTTGTAACACCCCGAAATATTGGTCATAGACCCACCTTTAAGTATACCGATCGTCATATCTCGACTAGACATCGATCTAGACATGTGTGTCCGTGCGTCCGTCCATTATAATTTGTAAACACGATACAGGCCACAGTTATGGACCAATCTTCACGAAATTTTGCATGTAGGATGGATTCTTGTCAATGAAGACCCCTATTCTTTTCATTTTTTCTTTGAACAAATACTTAATTTTTGTCGGTTTTTCTAGTCGCTCCACAGGACGCAATTATAATCCAAACAATTATGGTCAAAGAATAAGCATGCATGTTTTGATAAAGATGGGTCAATATTTAGCGGGTCAAATGTACCCTGACTGTTGTGTGAATAATGACAAAATGTATATTCTATGGCGTATATATTTACCCCTGAAGGACATACACCCTAGAAGTCGAAAGGCGTGATTGTCGAAAGGCGTGATTGACCTTTAAATTAATACCAATTACATTATTGTATGATTTCGGATGTGGGAGATACACTTAAATATTGACAGGTGCTTACGTATTCATATATTATTTAGTAACCCATTACCACACTAGAGGGCGGAAATATAGCGCTGATCGCTTTGAAATTTTCTATGAGGATCCTGGTACGTTCAAGGATAATCCCTATAATTTTCGGTGATAACAACATTGGGATGAATTGGACCGAAAACTTATTTTCGTTTTGTTTTTTCGAGTCGAGCTATAGGCCACAGTTGAAAGACGAACATTACAACACAACCCACGGTGAGGGGAATCTGAAACAGTAATTAGAAGGGCTGTACGGAATATTAGTAATATTTGTTGACCTCTAGTCGGTCAAGAGGGTGCAAATATCGTAAAATATTTCCCAAGTTCAGAATGTATTACCACAAAAAGTTAGATTTTCATGGAAGTTGTGTGGGGTATCATATGGTCGGCCATGTCCAACTATACTGATCCGCTCGTTTTTAATATTTTAAGGTATATCTATTGGCTTGGATTTATTTTTAAATATTTTTAAGGGTATATTTATAGGCTTAAACTATGATTAAGTATTTTTATGGTACATTTATAGGAGTGGAATTATTTTTACAGAACTTTTAAGGTATATTTATAGGCGTGGATAGGCATAAATTTTTTTTACGGTATATTTATATTTTAAAATATTTTTTAGGTTATATTTATAGGCGTGGATTTTTTGTAAATATTTTTGCGGTATATTTATAGGCGTTGATTTATTTTTATACATTTTTTGGGTATATTTATAGGCATGGATTTATATTTAAATATTTATACCCTACACAACTATGTTGTCAGGGTATTATAGCTTTGTGCAGCCCCAAATGTTTGTAACGCCGCGAAATATTGGTCCTAGACCCACCTTTAAGTATACCGATCGCCATATCTCGACTAGCTGAGTCGATCTAGACATGTGTGTCCGTCTGTCCGTCCGTCTGTCTATTATAATTTGTAAACACGATACAGGCCACATTTATGGAACAATCTTCACGAAATTTTGCATGTAGGATGGGTTCTGCCCAATGAAGACCCTTATTGTATTTGGTACAAATCGGTTAATATTTAGGGGATGACCAAAAACTTTATTTTTGTCGGTTTTTCTGGTCGCTTCAGATGCCGCAATTATGGC